GAGTTCACCTGCCTCTGCCTCCATAGTGCTAGGTTAAAGGCAAGCAACACCACACCTGGCTAAAATATGTCTTTAAAGTTTGTTCTTATGATTCTCTGTATTTTCTCAGTATCTTGTAAAATTCCTTTTTTCATCTCTGATTATATCGATTTAGGTCCTCTCTCTTTCAGTTAATTTGACTACATGTTTGTTAATCTTATTTATTGTTTCCAAGAACCAGTTCTTCATCAATTCTTTGTATTGATTTTTTTCTTTCTTTTTTTTTGCTTTTTAATTTAATTTTTTAATTTTTAAAACAGAGTCCTAGTATGTAGGCTGACATGTTTCAAACTTGTAGTTATCTACCCGCCTCCAACTCTTGGGTGCTGGGACTATAAGCATGTGCCACCATGCCCAGCTGACACTGAACTTTAAAAAAAATTATTGAATTTTTTTGTTCTTCCTTACCCAGCAGTAATCAGCTGCTAATAATTCTTCGACTAAGGTTGGTTGGGGCTTGCTGTTCATTTCCACGGTTCTGTACTGGGTTTTTGTCTGCCTGAGTTTGCATGGGTCTTGTGCATGCTGGCACTATTGCTGTAGGTTTATTTGAGAAGGGTCCCAGGCACCTGTAGGACCATTTCCATATGGTCATACACTTCCTCCCCTGGCTCTTACAATCTTTCCACCCCCTCTTCCACAATGGTCCCTGAGCCCTGGATGGGTGGGTGGGCCTCAATATAGGAGTCCTCTTCGAGGACCCACAGTCTGCCAACTCTTTTTTAAATATTTTATTTATTTATTTTTATTTCATGTGTATCAGTGTATTGCCTACATGTGTGTATGTGCACCGGTGTCATCCAACGCCCAGGGAGGTCAGAAGAAAGTGTTGAATTCCCCTGGAACTGGAGTTACAGACAGTTGTTAGCTGCAAGGTGGGTGCTGGGAATCGAACCCAGGTCCTATGTAAGGGCAGTCAGTGCTCTTAACCACTGAGCCCTCTCTCCAGCCCCTGCTGACTCTTATTCTCTGCCTTTTGGCCATTTGTGGCCTTTTGTGTTCTTGTGCATGAGGGAGCTTCATTGATGAGAGTTGAAAGATTAGTGTTCTCTTCATCCCTTAGTCTGCGTTCCATGAGTCTTAGGTGCAGAAGTTGCATCCTAGATGTGCCACTTAGGTCTGTGTGTGACCAGTGGTGTAACCCTGTAATAATCTCTGTTGAAACAGAAGCTACTTTGCCTGGTCTACATAGTGAGTTCTAGCTGGGGCTACAAGGGGGAGACCCTGTCTCAAAAAGCCAAAAAGAAAAAAGGAAGAAGCTACTTTGATGAGTGGTGGGATACTTGTTTATAAGGATTTGGTACTAGGATCCCCAAATGAGGGAGAACATACATCTTTTGTTTTTCTCAGTCTGTGTTACTTCACTTACTATAACAGTTTCTAGATCCATCCTTTTACCTACAAATTTCATGATTTCATCATTCTTTACTGCTGAGTAGAACTTCATTGTGTAAACGTACCACATTTTCATTAACCCCTCATCAGTTGAGGGACACAGTTTGCTTCCATCTCTTAGCTATTGTGAAAAGAGCAGCAACAAACATGGTTGTACAAGTATCTCTGCAATATGATGAGTCCTTTGGGTATATGCCAAGGAGTGGTATAGTAGGTTAAATGGTAGGTTCATTTTTAGATTTTAAGAGTTCTCCACACTGTTTTCCATAGAGGCTGCATGAGTTTGCAACCCCACCAGCAGTGAATGAGTGTTTCCCTTTCTCCACATCATCACCAGCATTTGGTATCGTTTGTTCTCTTGATGTTAACCAGTCTGACTGGGATAAGATGAAATCTTAAGGTGGTTTTAATTTGTATTTTCCTAATTACTAACAATGTTGAACACTTTTTGAGATCTTTCTTAGCCATCTTTATTTCTTCCTTTGAGAACTCTCTGCTTAGATCTTTAGCCAATCTTTTAATTGGGTCATTTGTTTTCTTGATTCTTTGTTTTCTGAGTCCTTTATATATTCTGGATGTTAAACCTCTGTCAGATGTGTCACTGATGAAGATTTTTTTCTTTTCTATTTCATTAATTTCAGCCCTGATTTTGATTATCTCTTGTTATCTACTCTTTTCTGATATTGTTTGTTCTTGTTTTTACAAGGCCTTCAGGTTATTAAGTTATTAATATGAGATCTCTCCAGTTGTTTTACGTAGGCACTTAAGTGCTATAAACCATCAACTTAGGACTGCCTGAATTGTGTCCCATAGGATTTGGTATATTGTGTTTTCATTTTCATTCAATTCTAGGAATTTTTAAATTTCCTTTCTGATGTCTCCCTTGGCCCAGTTTTGATTCCGTGTGTGTTATCTAGCTTCCAAGAGTTGAGTACTTTTTCCCATTTCTACTGTTGGTAATATCCAGTTTTATTCCTTGTAGTCAGATAGAATACAGAATGTTGTTTCAATTTTCCTAAATTTGTTGAGACTTGCTTTTTCCTAATATGTGGTAGAGTTTCAAGAAATTTCCATGGGCTGCTGAGAAGCAAGTGTACTCTTTGGTGTTTGGATGGACTACCCTGTAAATGTCTGTTAGATTCATTTCATTTGTGATGTCATTTAATTCCATGGTTTCTGTATTTAGAATTTTCTGGTTGAACTATGCATTGGAGATATTGGGGTGCTGATGTCATCCACTATCACTGTGTTGAAGTCACCCTGTGATTTTATATCTAATACTGTTTCTTTTATGTTAGTCATAGAGAATAAAATCAGATGCCTATCTCTCATCCCACATAAAACACAACTACAAATGAATCAAGGACCCCAATATAAGACCTGAGAGTCTGAATCTGACAGAGTAGAATGTAGGGAATACACTTGAACTTATAGGCCTGGGAAAGGACTTTCTGAACACAACCCTGATAGCACAGGAAGACCAAAATTTGACAAATAAGACCACATTCTATACTGTTATTTAAGTGAGGAAGCAGCCTACAGACTGTGAAGAGTGAAAAGATAATAAGAGCCAGAGGTGGTAGATGATCACAAGGTTAATGTGTTGTCTGGACCCAACAGGACAGTTGCACATATGAATTTACAGTACTTGTGATAGCATGCACAAGACCTGTACAAACCCAAAGCAGTCAAAAACCCAGCATGGGAGGAGGATGTGGGTGAGCCTACCTAGTTTCACACCCTTAAAGTAAACTGCCTCCTCCTCAGCTGATGATCTATTGGCAGTTGATAGATGCTGGGAGAAGAAGAGTCAGTTTCCTTTAAGGATGTGACACTTGGTAGGTTAGCCACACTCCAAGGGATGAACCCACACCCAGGAGTATTTGGGGAACACGAATAGGCATTTTAAAAAAGGGTAGGGGCTGGAGAGATGTCTCAAGGGTTAAGAGCACTGGCTGCTCTTGCAGAGAACTCAGGTTCAATTCCCAGCACCTACATGGCAGCTAACAACCATCCATTACTCCAGATCCAGGGGATTCACTTCTGGTCTCTGCAGGCGTTGCAGGACACAGGTGCACTTACACACATGAAGACAATATGCTCATACTCATAAAATTAAAATAATAAATTACATTAAATTTTTTTAGATGTTAAAGAAGAAGAATAATAGAGGACATAAAGTCAGAGGGGCAGTAAGGTGGGGTAGCAATGGAGGGAGCGGGTCTGAATATGATCAAAATATATTTCACAAAATACCTGAAAAATCAGTTTAAATTTTTTTAAACAAAAGATTTAAAAAACCCTTTCCATGCCCAGTATCCCCCCTCCCTACCTTCATAACACATATATTTTACTATTGCTACCCTTCACACGTCCCTTTTCCTCCACCTCTCATGGCTCATTTTTTTTTGTTTTCTGGCCTTGACAGACACACCAAACTAAACATAGAAATTAAACTAGGATATACATACGAGAAGACATACAGAAGTTGTTTCTCTGGCCCTGAGTTACTTTACTCAGTAAACTGTTTGCCTTTTCCAACCCTTTCGCTGAAATTTAATAGCTTAGTTTTTCTTTAATGCTGAACAGAATCCCATTGTGTAAATTGCCACATCTCCATTATCTATTCATCATCAGCTGACGGGGATCTAGGTTGCTACCATTTCCTAGCTATTGTGAATAGAGAAGCAGGAAACATGGATGTGCAAGTTTCTCTGTAGTAGGATATAGAGTCTTTGGGTATATGCTCAGAAGTGGTATAGTTGGGCCACACAGTAGTTCTGTTTTTAGCTTCTTGAGGAATGTCTACACTGATATCCATAGTGGCTACTGCAGTTGATATCCCCACCAACAGCAGATAAGGATTACATTTCCCTATATCCTCACCAGCATTTGTTGTCATTAATGTCCTTGATAATTGCCATTCTTAGTAGGATGAGATGGAATCAAAGAGTTGTTGTGATGGCTAAAGATGTTAGGAGGGAAAAAACTGATGAGACATGCTTGCTCCATCAGGGAGTTCTCAGTCTCTTCTTACCACCTGATTAGAGCATTTACAGTCCTGACATAGTGTGGGTGGTCAGACAATATTTATTGTTGGGTTAAACATAATGTGATTAAATGAGAATGTGTCTGGCAGAATCATAACAAACAGTAAGGGAGCCATCAGAAACACAAGATAATTAATGCAAAGGTAAATTGGGAAATAGGGGAATGAGAGTTAAAGGGCTCCCTGACTTGAAGCTGAGGGTGCAAGGAGCATATTTACTAGGTCCCTCATTTATTGAGGGAGACAGATTTCTTAGGAAAACCTGTGAGTATGCTAGGCACTCCAGGCCATTTGCCACAAGCATGGCCTCACAAGGGACTCTTGAATAGGACAGTGTAAAACCATGCCCCAGGGATGCACTCGGAAAGGCCAGGCCTCAAGATTGGTACAGCTGGCTTCCATAGGAACCAACCAAAAGCTCCTGTCTGCCTGAAGGAGGGAAGGATGGAAGGCAGGAACACCTGAGAGACAGGAAGGAGGACAGAAGGAAAAGGAGCCCAAATGCCTAGCTTTATAAATGCACAGCTGGTTTGAAAAAGAAAAACCTGCACCGCCCTTTGAATCTCTGTATCCCTCATCCACACCGAAGACCAGCACAGCCAATGTGTCCCAAACCCCATGGACAAGGTCAGTGAATAAACTAATTTCTGTTGTGAAGCTGACTTTGTCTCTGACCTTGTCACTAGAGTGGAACATCTCCTGGGTGCCTCGGAGTCTACCTGCATTCACGTCACACAGGACTCTGTACACAGTGGCCGTGAGAGAGAGGTCACAGATTTTGACTGCTAACCTCCTTCTCTAGAAGTCTAGTGTCATCCCTGCTAGCCTGGCTCTTTCACTGCTCACTTCGTCCTCTGTATTTCCTCTCCATATTTCCATCCAGATCTCTCAGCCTTCTCACCTACCTTCCTGCCTGTGGCACAAGGTCAGATGGCTTGGATGTGGCTGGAAGAGCCAGACTGGCTTACAGAGGCCAGTTTCCAAGGATGGGAAGGAAGAGACAACCCAACTCAGTCTCTTCTTCCTAGAGCCTGGGGAGGAGCCTGGCTCCTCAGCTCTGGTTCCACTGCCCCAGGCAAGCAGATCCAGGCTTCTGGTCAGTCTCCCAGACTCTGCCCATGTTGAGCTTTTTGTTTCATTTACTTTTCTTTGTGAAAAGTAATGCAAAGAGTCTCCTCCTAGGCAGAGGCCCTTGGAATCTGAGTCTCCTGGTGTGCATCTCTATATTAACTGTTCTTCATTTTCATACTTTATGTGTTTCATTATATTTCAGTCAACTCAATTCTTTGGTGCCCCCTTCTTCTTTCATTGTTGTTTAGTGAGAACTCTCTCCCTCTCTCTGATTCCTTCACATCTTTGTCTTTCCTGAGCCTCTGTCTTTACATTTGCACATCTCCCTTTCTATTTATTTGACATTTTTCCTTCTTTCCTTGGGAAAAGGAGGCTGAGAAGTGCCTTCTGGATGGTTTTCTAGAGATTGTGATAATAGACATAGGTTCCGCATTTTGCTTCGGTGGGAGATTATTTGCGATGCTTATAGGAGCCAGATAAGAGAAAAGGGCATGTAAATATATCTGGGAAAAGTCAAGTTAGATGCACAGTACTCTACGAGAATTAGAAGAAGTTTTAACATCGGTTGGGGGGAGGGGTAGAAAAGGTGAGTGAAATCTCTTCTCTGGGTTTCTACAGGAGCAATTCAGCTTATGCATGGGAGGCTACACAAATCTTTGAAGTATTCATTTGACATGTGAGGTGAAGTCATAGGGAGATGAGAAGAAACGGAATCAAAATTTATGTTTATGTTCCATTCCTTCCTAGCCACTAATCATATTTTTTTTCACTTTTTTAAATAATAAGTTTAAGACACAATAAAAGGAGGACAGAAGCCCTCGACTCTCTGGTGGGGACAGAGGCCCTCGACTCTCCGGTGGGGACAGAAGCCCTCGACTCTCCGGTGGGGACAGAAGCCCTTGCTCACAAGCTTCTTGTTCCCACAGTATCTGACTTCTTGGAGGAATTCCCAGGAGAGTGCCGGGAGTGTGTCAACTGCAGGGCCCTGGTCCACACCAGTGTGGCACCGTGATGGCACCGGTCACTACCTATGCAATGCCTGTGGCCTCTATCACAAGATGAACGAGGTCACTTGCGGGGTCCCAGAAGCGCCTGGTGAGTGTGACAGGGAGAGGGCCAGGGCCACAGCCACAGAGGGGACAAAGAAAATGGCTGGCTCCTGCAAGCTCACAGGTGTCCAGGTTCCTGAGGGGTGGGGTAGAGATTCAAGCACAGGAACACTGTAGGGAACCCAAAGCTCCTGGTTGGGCCAGGTCCACTCAGTGCCTCTCAGGAGCATGAAGACATCTCGGGCAGCAGGCAGGAGTCAGGTCCTGGTGAGACCTGGTGGGACCTGGCAGGACCTGGCTCAGGTATTACTGGCTGCTCAGCACCTGGCAGAACAAACGGTGTTTCAGAGCTGCTTGCTACGTGGCCACAGGCTGTCCCGGGGCCTGGTTTGGGGATGAGCTCTGCCCTGGATGTGGAAGCAGGACCTCTGGGGGCTCGTGGGGGCTCAGTCCTGCAGTGGAGCTTTGCTGGTAGTGATGGTGGAAAGTGGCAGCCTGACTGGATGTCAGAGGCTTCAAAGTGACCCACCGGGGCAAGGCTTGGAAAGGGGCATAGGTGTGTTGCTGGGGGTGTCGAGAACTTAAATGAGAGGATCTTTGGGTGTGTGCACTTGGGGAGGAGCGCTTCCTGCCCATACTTCGGGGATCTGCACAAATCCAGGTCTTTCTGCTTGTTGCCGAATTCTCTGAGAAAACTTGTTTTCGCTTTTGATTTTCCCTGGCAGTGCGTGGGTAAGAGTCGGGACTCTGCGGCTGGTTAGGAGTGAGGGTTTGGGGTCTGGGACTTGGTGAGTCACCAGAAGTTGCCAAGGTTGGAAGTAACTTTGCTCTTTGTCATCTGACAGGCAAACCTTCAAGTTCAAGTTTAAATATGAGTTTGAGTCAGTATTGTTGGCAGCTTACCTAATGCTCCCGTTATACATACTGTGGTGGCTGTGTAGATCCCAGGCCCCAGCAGGGCCATTCCTGAAGACCAAGTCTAAAGGTGTGAGCCCCACATAAGTGCCAATATGTCTCCCTGGAAGATGCTTCTCATCTCCAGGTCTCAGAGCAGGCCGTTTCTGAAGGCTGGCTGCTGTAGTCCTGTTAGGCCTGCGATCTTGGAAGTGGTTCCCTGCACGCCTGACATGGGGCTGTAGCTCGGTAGAGTCTCAGTGTGGTGGGCACATGAGTCCCTTGGCAGTCCACCTTGTCCACCGGGCTGATTTATTTAGAGATCCCTAATTCACAGAGGCTATTGCTCAGAGCTGCTCTCCTTCAGGTGAGGAGCCATTGAAACTAATCATATGATTTTAGTTAATTGTTACTTCATAGGAGAAAAACTTGAGACATACCTTGCCAACCAAAGGTCCAATATGTCTGACCCAAACCAAAGTCCCTCCACTGGTACTGGGAATGAGTTAATGTAGTTCTTTTCTAATTCATAAAGACTAAAATATTTTTATTTTGCTTTATTTTTAATGTTTTATTATTTTATTTTATATGTATGAGTGCACCCATGTCGGATCCCTGGAACTGGTGCTATGGACTGTTGTTAGCTACCATGTGGGTGCTGGGAATTGAACCCAGGTCCTCTGCAAGAGCAAGAACTGTTGTTAACTTTGCTAAGCCATCTCTCCAGCCCCCTATTTTGTTTTATTTTTAAATGTATTCATCATTTTACAGATCTTTCCTAAAGTTTATTCATTTTTATTTTATGTGTATGAGTGTTTTGCCTGCATGCATGTAAGTGCACATGTGTCATACAATGCTCATGGAGGCCAGAAAAGGGTGTTGGATCCTCTGTTAGCACCATCTGAGTGCTGAGAACTGAACTCGAGTCCTCTGAAAGAGCTGCCATTGTTCTTAACTGCTGAGCCAGCTCTCCAGTCCCTTTACATACCATTTTTTAATTACTATCTGTTGGGAAAAAGATCATTTATTCAGGGAAATAATTACTTTATAAGTCACTTAGACTGAAATTACAATATCATTTCACTTTGTGCCTCAAATGTGACTCAAAGCAAGAGTAACTTTTCATTAACAAATAAATATTGCACGTATTTGTGATATAGAACATGATGTTTCATTCATATATTTATTTGCTTTCTGAAGTTCTGGAGATGGAAACCAGTTCTTTGCACCTGCTAGACAAATACCCTCCTACTGAATTGCATCCCCAGACCAATTTGATATTTTCATATGTGCACACATTGCAAAAAGGCTAAGGCAAGCTAAATGACATATTCATTACCTCACATAATTATCAGTTTCTTTATGGTGACAGCAGTTAAAAATTACTCATTCAGCAATTTTCAAGTGTATAATACCTAATTATTTAATATTATTTAATATGGTTCCCATGTTGTACAATAGATTCCATGAACTTCTTCCTCCAGATTTTACTTCCCCACCTCCACTGCCACCTCTGCAAACCATCTTTCTGCTCTCTGTGGCTTTGACATGATTTTTTAAATTCCACATATAATGACATCATATGGTATTTTTCTCTGTATTAACTTATTGTAATATGACATCCTTTAAGTTTATACATGTTATCCCAAATGATAGGATTACTTGCTTTTTAAGGATGAATTGTATTTCATTATTTTTATACCAGATTTTTTGAAAGTCTGTTCAAATGTTGATGGACATGACATTTGATTCCGTATCTTAAGTACTGTAAACAATGCTACCATGAATGTGGGAGTAAATAGTTCTCTTCAACATGCTAATTTAACTTCCTTTGAATATATAGCCACAAATGAGATCACTTCATCAAATAATACACATATTTTGAGCTTGCTGGGGAACCCCCATAATGGTTAGCATAATGACTGAACTCAGTCTCACCAACAGTGTACAAGAAGGGTCCTTTTCCCCACACTGTTGCCAATACATCTTATCTTTCACATGGGTTTTTGAGGTTTTATTTTTATTTTTAATTATGTGTATATGCGTGTGTCTGTGTGTGAGGCCAGAAAAGGGTGTTGGAGTCCCTGGAGCTTGAGTTACAAAGGGTTGTGAGCTACCCCACATGGGTGCTGGGAACCTAATTTGGATCCTCTGCAAGGTGCTGGGAACCTAATTTGGATCCTCTGCAAGAGCAGAATGCCCTCCTAACTGCTGAGCCATCGCTCCAGCCCCCCTTTCACATTTTCATAATAGCCCTGCCACTGGTGGAGGTCCTATGTCATTGGGGTTTTAGTTTGCTTCCCTAGTCATTAGAGCTATTGAACATTTTTTTTCATATACCTGTTGACTATTTCTCTTATTTTGAGAAATGCCTATTCAAGTCCTTTGCCTATTTTTGATATGAGCATTTTTTTTCTTTGTATGTGTATTGTTATGTGTTCATATGTGTACATGCAGATATACATGTGTGTGCATGCATGTGGAGGCCAGAGATCTATGTTGGGTGTCTTCTTCACTTGTTCTTCACCTTATTTTTTGAGTCAGTATCTCGCTGAACATTCTACTTACTGACTCAGCTAGGCTGGCTCACAAGTGAGCTCAGAGGGTCTTCCTGTCTCTGCTCATCTCCAGTAAATATGGCAAGAATCCGGGCTTCACACTAGAATGAGACATATCCCCCAGTCTGGTCTACAATATGACACTTTGCTCTTTGTGTTCCTGTAGTCATGGGTGGAGACCTCACCCTTAGCTCCCCAACCCTGTACTTCTACAGTTCAGAATATGGTTAGCAGGATTCTCCCCTTCCGGGATCTGCCGCACATTATCATGACTTAGAGTTTCTTTCCATTCTAACCCAAAGTTTATCATATCTTTTGTTTATAATTTATTGCCATATATTGGGTAATATTTCTGTTAATAATAATTGTTTGGGACTTGAATAAATACTACTACTCTTCCGTCTGGTACTGAATAAACTGAAGTGTAAAAAAGAGTCAACAGATATATCACCTTTATTAATTTTTAAAAAAGCATGCATAGATTTCTGCAGTTAGGCAAGATTATTCCCCTAGCCACAAGCAACACAGGCAGCCCTTGACAGAGACTCCCAAACAGGAACAGAGCAATGCCCTAGAGTAGGTTGCCTCTCCTCGGAGGAAGGCCAGAGGAATCTGCTGGAACAAACGCAATGGATTTCTCTTTCTAAAAGCAATCAGGTAGCCACTCCTTGTCCCCTGTGATGGCGTGTAAAGGAAGTCAGATAATTACCTTCATACAGAAGGAAATACCAAGTATACAAAAGAAGTTCACACACACACACACACACACACACACACACACACACACACATGCTCCACCCTTAATAGTGTTTTGTTCTACCTGATTAAGACTATAGTGAACCAGCTTCCACCCTCATGTGGCTGATACCCCAGTTCAGAGAGGCTCTTGGAACTTTGGAAAATTTCTATTTTGCTTGCAGCTGGTTCTGAAAAGGATCAGAACAGTGGGTTAATTAAATGAGGTATGACAATGTTAGAACACAGGAAATCTCTCTGTTTTTTTCTACTGCCAAACTGTGCATAGCTTCCTTGCCCAAACTAATTTATCAGTGACTCTTCAATAAGATTAAATTACCTAATTAAGGCACAGTAATAAAATGAGATCACAGATCCTGTAGTCTTCAAATAGAAAATCAATAGAGTTGTGGATAGTGTTTTATCTCTATGCAGTCTACAGAGGACAATATTATAATGTTCCTCTGGTTTAAATAAGAAATCCCACAAATATGTGCATATGGATATATATTTTAAAAGATGTGTGTATGTGTGCATTGATATAACCATTTCTGTTAACCAAGACAAACAGAATAGATTGCAGAGATTAAGATTAGTTACAGAGGCTACAGCAACAATTTCTACAGTTCATTTTTAAGACATTCTCTGTCAGAAGTAATATTTTCCAGGGCAAAGTTGTTTTTGTTTGTTTCATTTTGTTTTGCAGCAGGACACTACAGCCTACCTAACTAAAGAAGAGCTGACATTTTCATTTTCTTACCGAGATTTCTCAAAATAACAGAAGAGCATGTAAATTAAGTTGAGCATGGAGATAAAACTTTTTTAAGGCCCAAGAAGGACAAAATATACAATATGAAAATCAAGTTGAAAAATAAAAGTACACAGTACCAAATTCTAACACAAGGTTCAGATACCTCGCACCTGCTCTTTAAAGTACTGTACACATGTAACGTGGTGGTATTGTTTAAGAAAACACTTATCTGCAATAGCATAGATGTCAAAACATTGAAAAGGTCACCAGACACCACCGTCTTCCAGAGTGGCCCACCAGATCAGACCATCCTCCGTGAAGCAGCATGCCCTCAAACACCATGAGATCTCTGCTGCTTGTCACAGTGAGTAAGTGACATATTGTTGCCAGCAGAGCCTCAGAATGAGCTCCTTTACCATGACCCATTTATTTAGACAGATGTTTGGTCAGTGAACTGGTAACAGTCTCTAACAAGGCATTAGACCCTGGGAGCACAGAATATTCTTTCTGCTCAGTGAACTGCAGGTGACCGTTTAGCTTCTAGCATGGTTTAGTGAATCTTTGAGTTAAGCTGTAACTTCTTGTTGCACAAATCCAAGAATTCTGTGAACTGTGGTTTACTGACTTACATTGCTGGAACTCTACTTTAGTCTCTACATGTCCACTGAGTGCAGAGTTGCAGGCCCCCATGCTATGCTCTCTGTCCTTCCCTTACTTTTCTGGGCCCCTAAGAGTAGCCTTGGATTCCAGAACTTTCCACACTGAAGATTATAGGAATAGACACGGAGGTATCCTTGATCAATCAAGAACTCTCACCTGGAGGGACCCTAGTGCTGCAAGGAGTGACACTGGAAGGGGAGGTCGACTCTAAAAGGCAGGAGGAGACGTGAGCACTTCATAGACAGGAGAGGGGGTTTAATCAGATGTCGATGGCTGGTGGTAACCGTGAGTAAAATGGGAAAAGGAGAGAAACGAGTGAGGACTGGAAAGAAGTAGAGAAATGAAAAGAAGGCCCACACAGAAGGCAGAGCCAGAGTGTACAGCAAAGGGAGTCGAAGGGAAGCCCCCCACAAAGCAGGAAGCTGCGCAGGCGCACACTGGCCGCCTACGAACGTCTGAAGGTGAAAGGGATCCGATGCGTCCTAACTCCCAAACAGGATGAAAAGTGCAAGAGACTGAATATGATCATAGAGCGTCTCTAGAAGGTACAGTCATGAGAGCATAAGAATTACGAATACTTAGTCCCTGAAGACTTAAAATGAGCACTAGTTACAGAGGCAGAGGTGATCAAGGTTCTCTGAACGACCGTTCCAAAAGGTTGGAAAAGATGTGCCCCACTCATCCATTTCCCATTCTCGTGAAGATGGTTGAATACTTTCCATCAAATGCCCTGTAAATTCCAACCAAGGAGGGAAAGTTGCCTCCTGATGAGAACACACGCAGGCACTCACCACCAAGCCCTTTCTCCAGCATGCACAGCACGGTGGTTGTAGAGGCGACAGCTGCTGGAGACTGAGTCTGGGAAAGGTGGATTACTGGAGACAGACGTGTCAGTCTCCAAAAATATGCCAGTCACTCACCTCAGAGACAGCCATAAGAGCTACAATGCTTTATTTTCCCTGAAATTTCAAACCATTCCCCACCTCAAATTAGGTACACAAACACTAAAAGTTGGTTCTAGAAAAATACACCTCCAGACTGGCTGTAATGGTGCGTGACTGTAATTCCAGCATTTGGTGGGGTGGAGGCAGGAGTTCACTGTCATCTTTGGCAGTATAGTAAGTTCAGGACCAGCTAGTGCTAGATGAGACTTGGTCTCAAAACAAAAAGAGAAAACCATTTTTAAGTATACCTTCAAATACCTCTCATGTGGCTCCTGCAAATGACCTTCTTAAGCTAATCATTACCATCCCCTCCCATCACACACTCCACTCCTCTATTTCTTGAACCTTTCCTGTGAGTCCCAGATAACCTATTTGTTTTTTCACCTCTGAGTGTATCTGTTCATAACCAGTCCTTTCATGTGAGAGTCCTGGAGCAGATGTAATACTTTCGAGAAGATCTAGTAATCCAGGGTAAAGTGGAACCACTATGCCTTGGACTTTTAAAGTGGTGTTTTCACCAGGTCACTACATCACCAACTTTCTAGAGCTCACTAAGTTCTAAAGCTTTTACTATCACCCTGGTAAACCCTCTTATACAGCTTGGTTTCTGGGCCTACATGAGTACTCCACATCTTCATGGGATTCTGTCGTTTGTGTTTTTCCTGTCCTCCCTCCCCAAGCAGGCCCCAGACATCGGACCTGAGGAATGGCAGCACAGCGGCAGAGTTCATCCTCGTGGGCTTTGAGAAGAGCTCCCCTCCCACTCGGGCATTGCTCTTCACCGTCTTCTTAGCTCTCTACAGCCTCGCCATGGCCATGAACGGCCTCATCATCTTCATCACCTGGACCAACTCCAGTCTCAGCAGCCCCATGTGCTTCTTCCTTGGACACCTGTCTTTTCTTGACATCTGCTTCATCACCACCACCATCCCACAGATGCTGACCCACCTGGTGACCAAGAACCACATGGTCTCCTTCGTCTCCTGCATGACCCAGATGTATTTGGTCTTCTTTCTGGGTGTGGCCGAGTGCATCCTCTTGGCTTTTATGGCCTATGACCGTTATGCTGCTATCTGCCACCCACTGAACTATGCCCAGATCATGAGTCGGCAAGTGTGTGTCAGGCTGGTGTGCCCTTCCTGGATCTTTGGGATGATCAATGGCATCTTTCTTGCGTATATATCATTCCGGAATCCCTTCTGCAAAGACAACCACATTGAAAACTTCTTCTGTGAGGCCCCCATAGTGATCGCCCTCTCCTGTGTGGGCCCCCAGTTCAGCATGAAATTGATCTTTGCTGATGCCATTGTGGTGCTGCTCAGCCCCATGGTGCTCATCATCACCTCCTATGCCCGTATCCTGGCCTCCATCCTCTGCAGAACCTCCTCCTCAGGTCGTGGGAAGACCTTCTCCACCTGTGCCTCCCACTTGACTGTGGTCATCTTTTTGTATACCTCAGCTACGTTCTCTTACATGAATCCCCGCAGGACACACCGGCCTGACAAAGACGAGCCTTTCTCCCTCCTCTACACCATCATCACCCCAATGTGCAACCCCATCATCTACAGTTTCCGCAACAAGGAGATGAAGGGGGCCATGGGGAGGGCTCTCGGGAGAGGAAACCTGGCTCAAGCAGAGTCTGTCTAGGAGGGAGATCCTCCAGGTTAGTAACCCCTTTCCCAGCCCTCACTCTCCATTTCTGGACGACTTTGGGATGAGCATTCACGTCTTCCTTGGCACCAAACTCACAGCTCAAAGTTCCTCCCTGCCTGCAGCTCGGATCTTGAGTTGACTTCCCACACACGGATCCTCTCTGAGTTCTCTTTCATTATCGGAGGCACAAGTGCCCTGCAAAGAAGCTCATTTCATAAGGAGATGAAGGGGGCCATGGGCAGAGCTCTTAGGAGAGGAAACCTGGCTTAGGAAGTGTCTGTCTAGGAGGGAGCTCTCTGGAGAAGCTTCCTCCACTTGGAAGTGGAAGGTTAGCCTTTTCCTGACTTTACTCTCCAATGCTGGAAGACTCCAGAAAAAAACTCTCATAGCTTCCTTTCCCCCAGACTCAGACCAGAAGTCCCTCCCGATGTCTGAGGCTCATTTCTGACTTTGTTTCCAGCATTGTTTTCCCGTGAACTCTCCTCAAGGGTATTTGAAGCTTTCCTGACTTTTTCCCTGCAGTCTTATAGCAGAATTCAATGAATAAGGGCCTTTAACTGTTAAGTGCATTTGACTTAAACTCTGTTTATTTTATAGTAATTTTACATGCCACTCCTCGGGCTGGTTTTTGCACATACATTTAGGCATTAATGTTCTTTCAATTAGTCACAGTAGTCTGCTTTTCTTTCTTGTGTTCTAGCCTCCTCATCTAGATCCGATTCATCCACTTCACTCTTCACTGAGAAAGGGAACTATACAACAGTGTTAACATTAAGAAAAGTCAGTTAGTGAATACAAGAAAGAGGTCAGAAACTTGAATTCCATCTTATCAGTTCCCCACTCACTGAGAAAGACTGTGTGGTGCCCTAACAATGCCAGCACCACAAACACTAGCTGTTGGTGTTTGTTGTTGGGGAGGGATCGGTGGATAGGGATAGTGTGTCAAACCCTTTCTCCTAAATCTTCTAGTTCCCTTCAGTAAGATGACCATCTGACTATATTTCCCTTCCCAGGCAAGCACGTGCCTCCACCAAGCTTCTCAGGCCGCCAGTTTCTTTCTCTCTTTCCAGTATCCAAATCATCTCCTCACCCTGCTTACCGCCTTCCTTTCGCTCTTCTGTCTTTGACTGCATTCCTACTTAAATCGCTTTACCTGCCTCCTCATCTTAAGCTGATGGGCTTTATTCCCTGTACTTTAAGGAGCGTAGCCCCCCATCACCTCCACTGCTGTAGAAGCTTCTGTTTGTGTCCACATTCTCTCTGGCTTCCTCTACCTTCTCTTCTTAACCAAACCTACCTTTCCTATCAGCACGTCTCTCTACTTCCAAATTACATTTTCCTCATGCTCCTTTTATGATAAATAGAGGAGGATGAAAGATGGGCCTGTTCCTTATTTTTCCAGCTACTTTCAATAGAGTGGCCTCAAGTCAATGCGATATTCTTTCCACAGACTACACATCACTTACAATCCTTTGTAACAGTGATTTGAAGCAATAGTGTCACAGGATCTTTTGAGGGTGAGTTGGTGAGTACTTAGAAATCATAAAATGCATGAAAGAGTATGAAAATGCGAGGAAGAATAAATGAGACATTACTGTTACTGAGAAGAAACAATAAATGCAGAACCTGATGGTTTCTGTTATCAAAGAAAAACCGCACCCAAGTTAGACAAGGAAGACTTTAAGACTGTTACAGCAAGAGACTGAACGCAACTCCAGACTGGCAAGATTTTTAAGGGCTTTGCTAGGAAAAGGATACAAAATTAATGTGCAAAATTCAATAGCCTTCCTGTACACAGTAGCAAGCATGTGAAGAAGAAATCAAGGAAATAATCCCATTCACAATAGTCTGCTTCTCCTTGTCCAAACAAAAGACCTCCGCAATGAAAACCACAACACTGAAGACATCCATCCAGGAAGACACTAGAAAACGTTAAGATCTCCTAAGCTCAAGCATCGGAAGATTTAGTATTGTGAAAATGGCCAAAATTGGTCTGTGAATTCAGTGCAATCCTAATCAAAATCCCCATGCCATTCTTCACAAAAATAGAAAATAATCATCTTAAAATTCACACGGAAGCACAAAAGGCCCCAAACAGCCAAAAAGCGATTCTGAGCATAATGAATGCTGCTGAACATATTGTCGAGTTGTTTCAAGTCATGTAACAAGAGCCGTAATAATAAAAATAGCATAGCATTGCACAAAACAGACACATCGATCAATGGGATAGATTAGAGGACCCAGATATAAGTCCACGTAACTGTGGCCACCTGATTTTTGGCAAAATTGCTGTGATGGTTAATGTTTATGGTGAACTTGGCAGGATGTGGAATCCCTTGAGATACAAGGCTCCAGATGTGCCCGTGAGGGTTATTTAGGCTCTGAACATGCTTCAGGGGAACTTTGCTGACTAGGTTAATTGAGGTAGGAAGATACCCTCTAACAGTGGGCAGTACCATTGTCTGAACTGTATAAAAAGGAGAAAGCCAGCACAAGCATTCAGAAAGCTCTCCACTTTTTGCCTGTGGATGCAGTATGCCCAGCTGTTCCAAGTACCTGCCGCCCTGACTTTCCTGCCATAATAGACTGTACTCTTGACCTGTAAGTTAAAATAAACCCCTTCTCCCTTGTTACTTTTGTTAGGGTGTTTGTCACAGCAACAGGAAAAGGAACCAAGATAGATGCTTTAGAAACGCATGTTGCAGAGAAGCCAGAATCTCCAACAAATACTGTAGGGGAAAGGGAATATCCAAAAATCAACTCCAAATGGATCAAGAACCTCATGTAGGACCTGAAACTCTGTAACTGTTAGGAAAAAAAGGAAGGGAGAATACTTCAAAATATAGGCATAAGTAAGGATTTTCTGAGTAGGACTCCAGTCACTCAGGAAGTAAACAGTCAACAAACATGAAAGTAAGAACTTCCGTACAGCAAAGGGAAACATCAGTCAAGTGAGGACTGAGCCTACAGAATGGGGGAAAATCTTTGTCAGCTGTACCTCTAACAGAGGATTAATATCTAGAATACACAAAGAACTAAAAGAAAACAAAACATTAAGAAAACTAATAAAAAAGTGGGCTGTGGAACAGAACACGGAGTTCTCAAAAGAAGAAAAACAAATGGTTGATATTTTTAAAGGTTTCAGCATGGGAGTGGAGAGATGGCTCAGCAGTTAAAAGCACTTGCTGCTCTTGCAGAGGACCTAGGTTTGTTTCCCATACCCCCATGGCAACTAACAACTATCTGTAACTCCAGTTCCATGGAATCCAATGCCTTCTGGCCTTCGCAGGAATTTCATAATATGGACACATTTACATGCTTGCAAGCAAAACACTCATACACATAAAATAAAAATAAATCAATAATTTTTAAAGTGTTCAACATCGGGACTGGAGATGGCTCAGCAGTTAAGAGCACTGACTGAGCCAAGCATGGTTTGAGTATGACTCTATTCCCAGCACTTGGGAGGCAGAGGTAGATGGATCTCTGTGAGATTGAGGCCAGCTTGGTCTACATAGTAAGTCCCAGCAGTAATTACAGGGAGACCATGTCTCAAGAAAAAGAAAGAGAAAACTGGCTGCTTTTGCCCTTGCAGAGGACATGGGTTTGGTTCCCAGCACCCACATGGTAGCTTACAATTTGTAACTCCAGTTCCAGGGAATTTGATGCCCTCTTCTGGCCGCTGTGAGCACTGCCTACACATACAGGCAGGAAGAACATTCATACACATAATATTAAAATAACAAAATATTTTTAGATAAAGGGTTGAAAATACGTATACGCTAGGAAATGCAAATTAAAGCTACTCTGATATTCCCTCTCACTTCAGGCAGAATGACTATCATGAAGTAAACAAATGACAGGACCAGCAAGATGACGCAGTCTGGTAAAGGCAGTCAAGCCTAACAACCTGAGTTCAATCCCTGGATCCCACAAGCTGTCCTCTGGCCTCCACAGGAGCACACATAAAAATTAAATATAAAATATTTTTAAATGAGATCAGCCCCATTCCTTAATACAAAGGAAAAAATGACCACGAATGCCGATGAGGATGTAGAGAAAGGGGAACTCTTATTCTCTGTTAGTGGGAGTGTAAATTGGTGCAGCCACTAAGGAAATCAATGTGGAAGTTTCTCAAAAAGCTAAAAATATAACTACCATATAGCCCAGCTCTACCACTCCTAGGCATGTGTCCAAAGGATTCCACATCCTACTACAGAGATACTTACATATCCATGTTTCTTGCTGCTCTAGTCACAATAGCTAGAACATTAAATCAGCGTAGATGTCCATCAACTGAAGAGTGAATAGTGAAAATGTGGCGCATTGACCCAACAGAGTTTTATTCTGCACTAAACAAAAATGAAATTATGAGATTTAGAGGAAGATGGATGGAATTGGGAAATAAACTGAAGTAATACAGGACACATGCTGGGTGTTCTCTCATGTGAGCCTAGATTTAAAGGTTTAGATTTGTATGTCTGATTTGGAGTGTCTCTAGAGGCCAGGAAACTAGAAGATGCCATGGGCAAGGGGGGTGGGGCTTACGTGTGGGGAGTAAATGTAGTGACAAAGTTGGGGGAAGGATCAGAAAGGTTGAAACATGGATGAGTGCTGGAAGAGGGGGGAGAGGAACAGTGAGACGGAGGATTAACCAAAATCAAGACGATACAAAAAAAGCCACATGGAAACCTATTACAATGTTAAGCTAATTAAAAATACAATTTTTTAAAATTTTATTGACTCAAGAGTTTCATACAATATATTTTGATCATATTCAGACCTCCTCCTCCTCTATTGCCACCTTACTAGGCCCCAACTTCATATCCTCTATTACTGTATTTTTTAAAGCCTATCCAGTTTAATCTGTTTCCCAAATGCTCTTGTGTGTGGTGGGGGTGTCTATCCCTTGGGATCTGGTCAACCTACCAGGTGACATACCAGTAAAGAAAATTGGGTCTCTCTCTCACATTCTATCAACTGCCATTCTATCC